TTGTTGTCTGCGGGGGAGAAAATGGTATGCATTTTGGTGTTGAAAATTAAGAAACCAAATTTCTAATTTCACTTGAATTTGAATTTGTGTGAACCACGAATTCCATAAATACTCCATGTAAAGTACACCTAACACCAGGCTCCCTACCTTCCAGGCTGACGTAAGAGCAGTGAGATCATGATGGAAAAGCTCTTTGGAAATAAAAACTATTTATTATTTATAACCTAGACTACAAATTATTCATAACCCCAGGTTATAAGCTGGATTGATACTTTCCTGAGTCTGGTTGAGGTTCTTAGACCCCCGTGGGATAGGTATATCTGAATCTGTATATCTGACTTTACAGAATCTAAAAGGGCAAGGAAGAGACTATCTGGGCAACTACTGGACCCAGAGTACACCACAGAATTGTCTTACAGAAGCAACAGGAAATTTCTTGGAATGCCTTCCCTCTTACTTACTGAATCTCTTAATCCTATTACCCTTCAAAATCCTTCCAAAAGCCCCCTCTTCTGTGAAACTTCTCCTGAGAATCAAAAGCACATGATTATTCACACAAAGCCAGTCACATAATAGATTGGTTCGATTGACTATTTGACTACAAGGAATTAAGTAATGGTATATAGTCGAGGGATTTCTGGAGAATGTGTCACTAGCTATTCTTGCTTGAATTATCACTAATAATGCCATGGTTACACTAAAGACAGGAAAATATTTTAAGACTATGCCCCGTTTTGCCCTAGTTTTGTTCCCAAGTGCAATAAAAGTGAAAAAAAAAAGTGAACTGTACAACTGTTGCCACCTATAGGAGACAACTCTGGTTTATTAATTTTATCATAACTCTGATGAAGCATAATATACTAACGAAATGAAGAAGCTTTATGGAAACTACACAATCCTCATCAAACACTAATCTTTATTGGGTTCGTTATTAATATTGTTATTCTGCAATTCTTATTTTAGTTTATCCCCTTAAAGATAATTTTGATTGTTATTTATAAAGTTCTTTTCCAAGATAGAGGTTGAAAACTTAGGCTCTGTAGGCCTCGGTCCAAATCCAGACTCTACTGCATACTGGTACACGACCTTAAACAAGTTACTTAACTTCCTCAAGCCTTGATTGCCTATAAATGGAGATATTAACAACATCTACCCATACAATTGATGTGAGAATGAAAACAGATAATCTGTGCAATGTGCTTAGCACAGTGTCTACACAGAACAGGCACTCAAATGCTGTTAATCCCATGATTAGTTTTCAAAGCACCTTCACATATAGTTGCTGCAATTTAATGTGTACTATTTTGTTACCATTCAACAGATTACATCATTGACACATTACCACTGGACCTCAATCCCTTACATTTTATATTTAAATATTATGTGCATTCAAAACTTAAAAAATACCTGAGATCTGACAAGACAATGTTGAGACTAGTTCGGTATGTTTATAATTGCAGACAGGAAAGTAAACTACTTTAGTTGCTCTTATTCTTAGCCGGCAGGACCACTGGAGAAACTGAAGCCAACAGCTGAGACTCTGCCGATGCTAGAGCAAGTTGGATCCATCATCAAGTCTCCATTAAGAATCCATTGACAATTTAGCATTGGTCTAGGCCTTTAGGGAGAAAATAGTGGGGGAAGGCGGATGAGGGGGTTAGGCAGGACATAAAAAAGAAGTATAAAATATGATCTCTAGCTCAAATCTGAATGATGCAAAGATTGTGACTTGACGTACATAGTGGGGTTTTTGTTATTTTTTATTGTCTTTTCTAATATAAACAAATAATTAAAAATTAAAGGATTTTAAATATAAGAAATATTGTTCTAGATTTATGATTCATGTTTAAAATCAAGAGATCTGGACCTATGTTTCTGCACAGCAGCAATAAGCTAGATTTAAGTACAGACATATCTCATTTTATTGTGCTTCACATTATTGCACTTCACAGATGTTGCATTTTTTATAAATTAGAGGCAAGACCCTCCACCAGGGAAAAGATTACAAATCGCTTTATTGCGGTGGTCTGGAACTGAGCCTGCAATGTCTCTGCAATATCTCTGTGGTATGCCTGTAGCTGCTCCTGCCTTTAAACTAGGTGCACACTCTTAAGCTGACCACAGCCCTCAATACCGCCTATCACTCCCTAACACTGAGGCTGAATGCCAAATGGCGCTCTTTGTCACTGTAGCACTGACGTTCTTACAGTCAAAAATATTCCTGTACCGACCTCTCAGCAAAACTGTGAAAATAAAAGGGAGACTGGGAAGGCCATGTGGTTTTTCTTAAAAGGCCATTTTTTTTTATTTCCATCACTTCCCTGGCCAGTGTAGGTGTTGTTGTATTTAATTGAGTAATGTTGTTTAATTAACTAAAGAAACAAACCTACAAGAATGAAACATTTAAAAAACACGCACTATTTGTGTCTAATAAGCAATGGGCATTTTAATGGTAAATACATCTATTTTCTCATCTCTACTTTAATACACTGAATTATACCTGTCCATCTTTCTTCCAAGACCACAAGTTATTTTAGACTACTGATTCTTAAATTTTAGCAGATATCAGAATCACCTGGGCGCTTGTTAAAATTTGCTGGGCCTCACCATTTCTGATATAGATAAGTCTGGGTGGGGCTCAAGAATTTGCATTTCTAATAAGCTCCTACAGGATGCCGTTGCTGCTGGCCTAGAAAACACAGTTTGAGAACCACTGTTCTAGAATAAGAATCCTGTCTTACTATTATTTATTTACTGTACCATTTATTGAGCCCCTATTACTATGTGCTGTGGTCTTAAGGTGTTGTATTTCTAATACATCAGTCCTGAAAAGGTATGTCTCATCATCATTTACACCCACGAGGAAAGAGGCTTCTGGGCACTGACACAGCCGGTGAAAGGGCAAAGCTATGATTCAGGCTCAGGTCTGTCTGCCTCCAGGGACCCAACTCCCCCCACCATGCAAACATGCACATGCGCACACGCGCACACACACACACACATGCAAAACACAATTTTATTCAGCTGTATATCCTCACACCAAAACTTTCCACCTACATCACGGTAGTGTCTCTAATAAGTGTTTATTGAATGGTCCTCATGGACTAGAAATTGGCAAGGAAAATGCTTGTGGTTCTTGAAGGAAGAAAAAGGGAGAAGATACTCAAGTGAGGAGGAAATCATATTGAATGACCTTTATTTATGTACATTAGTATAATCAAAGTATTTCCTACTCTCTCCATGTATTTTTAGCATTATATAATTGTTTAAAATGCCTAAAAATTGGTGTGACATGGATAGGGACTCTTGCCTGGAGTTATTCCTAATTATGAAGCCACTTTTCTGTGGTTGGCTAGGAATCTGTTCCTCAGCCCACCTCTGGTTTCAAGGTAGCCACCTGAGATGGAAAATTAGTTCTATGAGTAGTACTCCTGCACGTTAATGGTATAATGAAGTAAGCACAACTTCTAGGATGCTTTTCAAGTATTCCCATAGAATTATGCCATTTCCTATAGCAGAGAGAGAAACTCTGTCTGAGCCTGCTCTTAGAACACTGAAGCCACCTACTTCTGTATCTTTTTCTCTTTCTATTAAATATTTAGCATGTGAAAATCAAAACACCATTTTCTCATTGTACCTTTAACAATGATGTGGGGCTTGAGTTGGGGAAAGAAACTACATATGCTAGAGCCTTGGAGAATAATGATAGAGATGGTTTGGTAAGTTATATAAGTAGAATTTTCGGGTGGCAAAATGAAAACAGAAGAGACAGGACATCTTGTCCTTTATTACATAAGAGCGTGGTTTAGTAGAAACAGCCTGAAAGACGGCCAGACAGGAATTCGAATCCTGTTCTCTCTCACTTGCTGAGGGACCTTGGGCAAATAACGCTGTCACTCTGAGCCTTGTTTTCCTCTTTAAAATGGAGACATGTAACTTGCAGGTTTCTGAAAGGCTTGTAGATAACATATGTTTGGTGTCTTTCACATGGTAGATGCTGTTATCATCTCTAAGCCCCTGTCCCTCCTTTTTCCTTGTGTTTGAATGGAATTTTTGCTTGAAAGAGGAAAAGAAGAAGAGAAATGTGTTAGTGGCTTTAATTCCTCTCTTCTCCCACCTCAAACCTTAGGAGCAACTTGAGCAAATAGAATATATTCATGTTTATAGGATTTACCTACAATAAATATTAAATGTGACTGCAGTGTTTTATAAAGTCCTGGAGACTACCAGCAACATCCTAAAATATCCCTGTTTAAATTGGTGTTACTAGAACCTTCTATAGGGGTGTGGTTACTAAGGTACAGATCTGTCACTATGATTTTTAAACCTTGGGCTTAAGAAGAGAAATGTGTTAGTGGCTTTAATTCCTCTGTACTAAGGTACAGATCTGTCACTATAATTTTTAAACCTTGGGTCTTCCAGAATCTACACCCACTGACCTGGAGATCTCTTTCAAATATCTTAAGACTTGTAGAGGGACAGCATATGAATATGACAATGCTTTTGATAAGTTTAACATGTACTTAAATTTCCTGGCAATTTATGGGTTTGTGTATGTTTTTTGTTTTGTTTTGGTTTGGTTTGGTTTGGTTTTTACATATAACCACAACTTCTGGCTGAAGTTCAATCCCTATCCATACTTAGCAACAGGATAACTAATAATACTTTGTAAGGAAAGTGAGTAGTTAGAAACTTTGATTAAGAAAAATAAGGCACTTTACCTGAAAATTTTCAAATGGATCCATTTAAAGTGAAATTAAGGGGCACTTAACTGGTTTGCAAATTGGGACCTATTTATCTCAGCAAAATGATTAAAGTCTTAATTTATCCCTAAAATTGGCTTTATTATTACATTTAATTATACTAGAAGCTTGTTAAAGACTTGTAGGTTCTCTCTATCCCTTTAAACTGTACTTTATACAGACAATAATTGAATATTGGACCGAATAACTTGATTTTCAAAGAAATATGTTTCTAATATTTTCCTCTTTTTATTGCAGAAATTGAAACAAGTTGAAGAAACAAAAGAAGATCCTGAGAATAGATTATCTAAAATTTCCCTGGAGTCATTCCATAAATACAACAGCAATACTATGATTTTATTAGAAAAAGAGAAGAACTCTCTGAACAAGGCTGAAGGACGGAAGGAAGAAAAAGAAAAAAATGAAGAGGCATCTTTGAGTAGTTCAGACAGGCCCGGGGTAGACAATTTGGAATCTTTGAGTGATTCTTTATACGATAGCTTCTCTTCCTGTGCAAGTCAGGGTTCAAATGATGCATAAAGAACTTTTTTTTTTTTTCCCTTAGTGAGCCAGAAATGGAGCACTTAAGAAACAGGGGTGAGGAAGGGGCAGGTAGAGATGACAACAATAAACCATTTCAACAGAGTCTATGTTGTCAGATTCCCAGCAAGCAACCCACTGGAGCATTCTTCTCTGACAGGGCAATAAACATAGACTCTATTTGTCGTGTTTTATGAGGATTAAAAGTAAACACACCCACGATACAAAAGTCTTAATTTTGCACTTTTTTTTTGAATACTTGTACAGAAGTTGTAAATTTTTTGGAAAAGAAATTATATTTGTAGCAACAACGACAAAAAGCAATAAATTGAAGCAGTGCCAAGCTCTTGAAATGATGTACTAAGTCTTTTAGAAGTTGATAATATATTTTTTAAAAATTCCAACTAAAGTTTTTGTTCAATTCATTGTCCTAGTCCTCAAATTGTTTGTGGGTACACTCTGCCAACCTTAAAAAGGGCCTGCCAAAACAAACAAACAAACAAACAAACAAACAGAGGGCTCATTGTAATCTCACAATCTCGATTTGATATGAACTTTAATTCTAGTGCAATTTCAATATTGTTGCCGGAGATATTCAGAATCTAGTAATAAGTGTAATTCTACTTCTACTGAAAAAGGTAAAGGGTACTGAGTGTGACACTGATCAGAACGGATGTGTATCAGAAGTGACCTAATTCTATTTTCAAAAGCAGGTTTTCCCTCCGAGCATTTCCGTACATTGTCTTCTACTTAATGCTTCACTATGATTCTCAACATTGTTGATTTTTACCCTTCTGCTGTATATTAAAATCTGGGAAATCTAGAATGAAAGCAAATTTCTATTTGCAATGTTCACTTTTTTTAAAAAAAATTAAAGTGGTTGGTGCTACAAAAAATTCTTTTTAATATCCTTTTTTCTACAAAGTCTGTTTATATGTAAGGATAAATTCTATTTTAAAGGTTATGTGTATTTTTTCTAGACGTGAACTATTTATAATTGCTTTTGTACAGGAGCTTGTAAACTAGGCATAATAGAAATATTTTTAGGATCTGTATGGTTACTTTAGTACACACTTGTTTCTTTAAAGAGTATTGTATGATCAGTGTTATTTGGTAAATTTGTGCAATTTGTTATATTGGAATTTTGTTGTCTTAAAATGAAAATTATGTAGTGTCATTGTCTTTCAGACTTTTAAAAATTCTTTTGTTTCATTTCTGAATAAAAGTTATATCACAATCGCACTGTCTAAAAGCTTAAAAGAACTTGTTCAAGAAGCCTTTGGCCCAGTTATTTGAATCTCACACGTGCTCCAAGGACAAATTCCCCTAAGGAATAAATAAACTGGCCCTCTAGCTCTAGAGATAGTAATTTAGCCAAATGTCAGATTAGAGTCTGCAGACAAACGAGTAATGGCCAAAGCATTGCAGTCTCCCTGAGGGGTTAACTGGCTAGAAATGAAAGGCAGAGAGGGGCAAAGGGAGAGAGGGAGCCGGAGGGAGACACGAAATCATCTCTGCAGAGGAATTACAAGAAAGTCACTTAAGCCCATTTCCAGACCTGCTCTGCCGGCAGGATGGGGAAATAAATGATCAGCGTCCGGAGGAGAAGAAGGTGAAGAGGGGGCAAAGCTTATGAAGCTATTTCCACAGAAATGGATGCTCCCTAGGATTTGGGGGGACGAGTGAGAACGTGCGGAATTGGAGGCGGGGGCACCAAGGCGCTCCGGCGGGCGGGCTCCGGTACCACCTGCTGCAAGGTTCGGTGGCGAGGAAGGAAAACGTAACAAGCGTTGCATCGTGGTGTCCCCAGCAGTACTCAAGGTGGGTCGCTGGAACCCGAGAGGAGGAATTAGGGGAGCGAGAAGGCAGGGGCAGCCGGCGACCGAGTCCTGGGCTGGGAAGGCGCAGTCCAGGAGCGGACGCCGGAGCATATACTAATGACCTATGGCTTTGAGGAGAGCAAAATCAAACTGCCCGGCCTTTTGGAGGAAGGGGATAGGGAAGAGCAGATGCCTTCACCCCAATTTGCTGTTTAGTGGGAGCTCGCTGCTCTTGTCCCCGGAGCAGCCCTCTCCTAGGCTAAACTACTAGAGCAGTGTCACCGCACCCTCCAGCGGTGCGCACAGGCAGATGAAAGGAGAGTTCCCCGAACCTAGCGCGCCAGTCCGTGCAGGGGCATCGTCACACCCTGCCCACCCTGGCGCAGCTGAAGCAAAGCCTGGTAATGACCGAGGGACTTCTCTCAGGAAAAGAAGGCGTAGCTGCGCGGGACACCCTAGGGCGCCTACAACTTTGCCAGATGCAGGGGAGCGCGCCCCCCTCGCGGCAGCCGCTCTTGGCCCGCCGCATGCCAGCCCCAGCTGAGTGGGCCGAACGCTGCCGCCGGGAACCCGTCAGCAGCTGGGAACCGGCCAGGCCCCGAGGCGCCGAGGTCGTGGGGAATGCGCACCTGTGCGCAGAGGGCCCACGGGACTCACAGTCTTCCGACCCCACCTCGCAGGTCCAGCAGTCAGCGCCCGGCCAGTTCCCGCGGCACCTGCTGCGCCCTCTTGACGTTTCCCCAATCTCCAGCTTCCCCCCGCCCTCGGGAAACTACATTCTTCTTCTCCCCCTGGCATCCCCGTCCTGGGGACGTGCGGGGGCGGGAAAGTAGGGCGATAGGAAGGGGTGGGGACGTGGAAAGACGGTCCCAGCCTTCTCCGCCCGCCACCCCCACCCCAACTCGGCAACCATCACGTGGTGCCTGGAGTGGGAGGTGGGAGAAGAGGCGAGACTTTTTGGGTGCTCCGAATCGCCAGTAGTTCCTTCAGTCTCAGCTGTCAACTCCGGAGACGCCGCGCTCTGCCCAGGAGCTTGAGCGAGAGGAGCGGCGACCCGCAGCCGGGAGCCCCGGCGCGGGCGATGCAGGAGCCGCTAGCGGCAC